CCTCCCTGTACAGAGTCCTTTTTTCATGGTCTTACCTATGTCGATTTTTATTACGATAAAGCTATTAAGATAACTTAACACTGTCCAAATTATTATCGATAATTAGCTAAATTCGAGAGGCTCGTGTCACGTGTAAAGCTTCGCAGCTCAGTTAGAGACCATTTAAAAACAAATAACTCATTACAGCGATATGATGTTAGAAAAGCTGAATTAAAAACGATGTAAAAGATTCTTGTGTAATAGCAGAATAATAATTCGATGTGGTATTTGAAAATCGAAATAATTTCTCGAATATTTTAATGATTTAGCGTGAACAGCGATATTTCAATCACGATATAGAGAATTTAACAAATGAAATTTAATCGTGAGAAAAATTGTATTATTACGATGATCTGTCGAAGTCACGTTCGAGGAAAATCGTTTTACAAAAACCTTACCGTTCCATGCTAAGACACGTAATAGCAATCGGATGTGTCGTCATCTGTACATTTGCGTTAGCCAAATCCATCAAAAGCAACAAGCATCCGAAGAAATCACAAGTTGATCTACTTTACATACTACAACCATCAAAGTGTAATAAAATCGAGAAGCTTGTTAAAACGTGATATCTTGCTTCAGCGTCATGAAAATAGAACGATAGAATTTCCGAATATGGATTCATCGATCACGGAAGTACCTACCTTCAGCGATAGTACCTCGTTGAAGATGTTGGAAGATATCACAGCGAAAGTTTGGAGAACGTTGCCTGTGATTAGCATACCTCGAAGTTGGATACTTACTTATTGTGTGAAATACACTGAGATTTCTGAAGATGTTGAGAAAGCAACGATACAGTGCCAATACGACGGAACAGACTGGGATTGCACGTTCATCGAGTTGGTAAAAGCTTATAATTCAAGATTCGTACTCGTAATTTATAAATAGACTTCAAAAGTTTGTAATGCAAATTCAGATCTTTATAAACACGATTAAAAGGCTAGGATCTGGAAAGAAATTCGTTTCGCTCGTTAAATATTACAACGAATACTTTACTTTGCATATACGTTTCCATATTATCTGCATTGCGAATATGTTTGCATCTTTAAACCGATTACTGAGAATGCATAATTGTCAGAATTGTATATCGCTTTTCTTTTCGCTTCTGTCCATTGTAATTTTTAATAACCCAAGGTGTTTTTCTTTTAACTCTTGTCTGTTACAATAGCTAAGAACGCAAATACATAAAACATGAAAGATTAAATGTATCAGTTTCCTATTCTTAGATTCTTGTTTAGCGATTTTCGTTGGCACATACTCTGAATAAATCAAAAGTTTACCAGAGGTAAATTCAAACAAGAGACAAAATTCATACTTTGACACAATGCCGTGAATGTTTAATGTTCCAGCACATTAAATTTATGTTGCCAATTCTGTATACATCGACAAGGAAATGACATTTACCTTGACATTTTGCACACACTATGATTCATTGCATACAATTGCTTAATACAATTACTTAATACGATTACTTAATACAATTGCTTAATACAATCTGTTATTATTGGCAATTTCAAGCAAACGCTAACTGTGAAAACATTTTACAAAACACGAATTTGACTCATGATGATCTTACTTCTACAATCTGAAACATTGGCTTAATTAAATTAAACGATTCTGTCGTTAGTTTAAGCTACAAAAAATATTGATTTCTCTGTTAAAGTGAATAATTTTTTAATTATTTTAAATTTTAAATAATTATTTTAAATCATTCCTATAGTTAGTTCAATCTATTCGTATCTTAAACAGCTTTTATAATCTAAAAACAGCTTTAAGAAAAAATTTTCACTGAAGTTAGTAAAAACTTAAATGACAACGAAAAACCATTAATCTCGATAAGTATTTTGTAAAGTTGGTACAATTTCGTTCGTTATAATTGATAACCAGGGTGGAGGACAAAACGACTTTAACATTGGAAAAATCGTCTCATTGTTTCACAATCTTTCTAATCGCGGATTAAGATTAAAACTACTTCGTGCGGCCGAAATTTGTGGGAAACTCTGGCAGAGCTACAAACAAATTCAAGATAAAAGATTAATTCGTATGCGATTGAACGTTCACGTGAGTTGATCGATAAATTCGTAAAAATCGCGTGATTTGTTCGTTTAATATCTATTCTCATCGAAGGCAAAGAACAGAGAAAAAAGATTTTCGAAAAGAAATAGGAGTTTCCGAGGCTCGGGAACAACAGAAAAGAATTTAAGAAAGAAAAAGGTGGAGGATCGTGACGAGGACGTAAAGAAAAGGAGACGAGCTGCCAAGAAAATACAAGCCATTCGAAGGAACTTGTCAAAAAAGATTACGGAACTTGAAACTAAAGGCAAATAAATAACATCAGAATAAATATTGATAAAAAATAACAATATCATAGCGACGACAGTAGCAAGTAATGATAATATCGATAGTACTAAAAATACCTGATACGTATAATAATAAATAATTTTACGATAGCTATAACAGACAAAACAATTTAGAAAAATTTCATTCGAAAGATTCTAATCCAATCTATAACTGCACTTTTCAAGTTTGATAACAATTTTAATGATATTTTCGTCGTATTAGTTTTTAATTTTAATCGTACATAACGATATCCAGCGGTAGAAAAATTTTACGTAAAAGGGAAATTAAACTGATTCTTTTTTAATTGGAAGCATTAAAAAAGAAAATCTTAAATTATATGTAATAAATCAATTTTCTAGAAACTTTAAATCCAGAAGAAGAAACCGAGCTTAATCGATTGCGTTTAACAGTGGCGGGAAGACCTCCTGACAATTTAGAAGAATATTCTCTAGCGAACGAACGAGCAGAATTATCTCGTCTTCAAGAAATAGGTTTATGCTTGACGCAACAGGCTGCAAAAGCTTGTGAATCCACTGTACTCGATGCAATCCAAAAATTAATATAATAAAACCTCGTATTCTTCGACGATACCTATCATGCAACTACAATGAGCCTTAAAGCTTAGATTACAAACGTTATTTGCCTATTCTCTGACCATTTCTCTGCTATAATGAAGACAAGTATACATATAAATATAATAAAAATAAAAACGACAAGAATTGATAAAAGCACGATAACGATGAATATCTATAAACATAGTTAACAAATAACGAAAGACTACAGACATTCATATCACATTTTAGTTGAATTAATTCGATAAATTTTTCTATTTCATACGCTTTAAATTATCTTTGAATTAATACCATTGCTTTTTGCTCTTCTGATTCCATATATATTATATGTACGATAAATCTGGCTTTGTCGATATATATAACGAACATTCGTCTCTAAGTTAAAACACTAATCCTAGATCAAATTAATCTAAATTAGATTTCTTAGGTGCACGATAAAATAGTAATACTACGCATCTAATAAGCAACGTATATTATATTTATCTTAACGATTGAGGAGTACTTATCGCTATATCAACATTTTATAGCTCTAATAATTGCTCGAATGTGTATTTTCAGTTCGACACGAGAGATTCGACTGTTATCATTCTACATATGAAATACTTAACGATGTTATCTTACGTGTTTCTTTCAATTTGAATACTCAAATACGTGCAATCGGATCACAAATACGATCGAACTGTATCAACTGGGTTTTGGCGAAAACTTTTTATGATCAAAAAGCGATATTCTATCGGGTTGTGTATATTTACAATTATTGCCCTTTCTTCGTCAATTTTTCAAACTTCAAAGATATTTTTACAATGTTAATAACGATATTAGCAAGCATGATTCTTTTATACTGTCACAGTAAGTCAATCTTCGATGTATCGAATAACCTTTAAAATACCGCTTGAATAATTTGTCATAATATTATGTAACTGATATAGTCATTAATGATAGCGCTAAACGACGGTCGTACCTCTGTAATATCAAATGCGGTCCTGGCACAAAACACCAACACGGATATATATTTTGATAAATTAAATACCAGTCTGTTCGAAGTATATCCCGTATTGATTTCACCAAACTGGGTAAAAATATGAAATCAAATCATCGACAAAAGTCTCCGTACACCAATAAAAAGTCAGAGTTTTTATTAAAATAAAAAATCATTAAAATATCATTGCAAAGTTAGTGGATTCTACTTTAAGAAAAACTTCAAACAAAAAGTAATTCTTACTCGGCTAAGAGCTATTTTATATTTTTGCTTCATATAATAATAATAAAAAACCAATATTTCAATTTTAAAAAATTGTCTTTTTATAAGATGTACAAAGACTTTATGTAACATTATCGCTGATCGTATAAATTCTTTATTAAATATGAAATATATCATACATATATAAAAATACATATATGATTCTTGTTATAACGGATGAAATATTTATAAATACAAGTACAGGTATAAAAAGACATATGTGTATACAAAATCTTCAAAATTCTGTCTCATTTTTTACAAATACTAATTATTGATTTTTATATGCAGATATTACAAATTTGTTTGAAAGAAACTTCGTTATTAGATAAATTACACTCGCATATAAGCGATTGCAGCAATTACCCCTGTATGTTTTCAAAAATCATTGAAAACGAATCGATGAAATCCGTTGTATCCATAATAAGAAATGATACAATAGACGATGTCATCGGTAAGGAGTTCAAACAAAATATACAAGACTGTACAGTTTGGTGGAAATTATTCAAACATTTCAATAAGAATGCAAGTGCTCGTCGTGAGTTAGGGAGATGCTTGTTTCAAACGTTTTCATTTGTAAGCAATGATTCGAACAATGGTGAAAAAAAGAGCAATACGTTTATGCATTAAAACGGATTATTTTATGTTTGTAGAAATGTAGAGAACCCGTTTTGGATAAAGTAAGATTACTCTTATTTAACACGAAAGAAAAATGAAGGTAATATTAGTGTGGATCACAGCGTCAGAATAATTGAACATTGGAAGAGGAATATTAAGATCTTTTTGTAAAAAGATTGTTTGTTAAAAAATAGAACTTTAATATATTTCTCAAATATAACAATTATACATTCAGAACACTGTTTTTATAGGAATCCCTAATACTAATACTAATATCTTCTACATTTTACGCAAAATTATATAATTCGTAGGTATTTGTGTCCCCTGTTGTACAAATTGATTTCGTAGCACGCTGGTTTCATAACACTTAATACATATTATTAAAAATATAATACTGTATGCTACATGTTTTATCAACACAAACGTATTATATCTATAATACATAATAGCGTTTTATTGAGGAACTTAATTGATATTAATAAGATAAAAGATTAGTAAGATATTTAGGAAAGGAAGAAGTTAACATTAAATGTCGATAAATCGAAGGTTCTTCTTTCCGGAAAAGGAGGCAGTAAAAGTAAGAAGAGAAAATGGGAATGGAAAGAAAAAGAATTGGAGCAGATAATACAATATCTTAAATATTTAGCATATATTTTTAGCAAAAGCGAGAAAAATACAGAACAGTTGAAAGGGTTGATAAGGAAAGGTAATCTGGCATTAAGGTAAATGTGTGGAATTGGAGTTTATTTGACTTATTGGAAATAAATTTATTTGACAGTTTAGTAAAGAATGTGATATCGTACGGAACAGAAATCGTTAAGAGAGAAAAAGAAAGAAACAGAAAAATATAAACGAGAGAGAATGCGTTCTTAGAGAAAGGGATGAGGATGTACAACTTCAAGAACGATTCGATAGGATAATAAATTCTAGATTTAAGTAGATATAAGGATCTAATAACAGATGGAATACCAAAGTACTTACTTCGTTAATAAGAGGATTAAAGGAAGCCAAATTGATCGGTATCTAGGGCGAAATATGATAATTTAAAGGAAACAGAGATAGTATTAGGAAATTGATATGATGACAAACACAGAGTATGTATGATATAGGGAATGGAGGAACCGATATAACACTTTCGAAGGCTGTACAATGAGATTGAAAAAGGAAGTGTAAAAATTGAAAAGATTTTGAGCAATAAGGGCTCAGAAGAAGGAACAAGATGGCTAGGGATGTTGGATAGAGAAAGGAAGAAGAGGACAGAGATGTGCGAGTCAATTGCGGACAACGGTTAGAGCTGATGTTAGTAGGGTTAAAAGGGAAGGCAAGTAAGCAGGAGAAAACAAGTGTAATAGGACAAGAAAGCAATAGGCAATAGTTTTACATTAGTTCAGCTTTAATTTTAATTTTCTGTGAGCTAAACCAATCAAGTTCCTTTTGTAAAGCTATCGAACCGAAAAATGAAATAATAGTAACAAAAATAAAAATGTATTTGATAAACTATCCTTGATTACTATGTATATACCTAATATCACCATTTTCAAATTAATGTTCATTAATTCAATTTCTAAAAACTACACCAGTAACTAAAACCTAGTCATTTTGGAGACTATTTCATATTCTCAATTACTGTATTCTGTACCCATATTTTAAATCCAGCACCTTCTTTACAATGTCGTATGATGTTTAAAATGCCGATTATCATGTAAAGTATTGATATAGCAATAAAATAACCACCATAAACAAAATACTGGAAAAAAAGTACAATGTAAAACATTTCAATTTCAATATCAATATCAATATCAATATCAATATGAATGTCAGTGTCAAATAGAAATCTAATCAACTAATAGAACTCATAAAAAGAGATAAAATCAAGTTATTTTTTTAGTTTGTTTAGTCATTTTATGCTCTTATATTTTATTTAAAATAATTAAAAATTATTAAACGTTAGATGTCACAAATATGGATTTTTTATATCTTATATCATTTATCACATTCCTCGTATCTTTAATATATTTACATTAGGAAAGTCTCAACAAGTTAAAATTTTGCATAACTTGAAAATAAAAAGTAAAATAACTAATTCTGCAATTAGTATGATAAAATATTATTATGTAATTAAGATATTAAAGATTTTATATATATATAAGTATTGTTTAGTGCTTGTAATAAATTGAACTGATATTGTAACATCTTTACTATCTATAGTTATATATTATTAAAAAATTTTTACTTTCTAATAATTCCAGCTATAAAAGTTATTTTTTCCAACGTTGAATGTACATTGAAACGTACAATCCTATTAATAATCGTGTACTAATTTAAAATCGTTATTACAATATAAAAGTACTATCGCAAATTGTTAATACCAAATATATATCACACATGTCACACCACATCAAATGTCATTAATAAATAAAATTTAATTACTAAGTTATAGAGTCTAAAATTACTAATAGGTGAAAAACCATTTTAAGTTAATATAATAACTAATTATTAATAAAATAAGTACACTAATGCCTGTTTAATTGGTACATTCTCGGATCTGACTTTCAAAATTGTCTAAAAAGATAGGTGTACTGGAAATTATAGGCTACTATATTTTTCGAATTTGCTTGTTTCTTAAGCAGGACAGGAACTAAATGTAAGAAACATCGAGCATAAGTGAAATGCAATATATCGCACAATCGTGCTTATTCATACAATTAAAGTTCGTTCCAATACTATGTACAATATCATTTTAGAACCTCACCGATTTGATTAACATTATTTTTCTTATTTTTTAGTTCTAGGAATCTGTATGTATAAGCCTACGACAATTAAATAGGCGTTGCTATACTGTATTATACAAACAAAATAAGCAGGTATATATTCATTTTCAATGTAAAACATCGGTGTAAATAATTCTTTAACCAACAGCTATTAACATTTTTTCGACACATTTTTATGAGTTTTATTAGCTCTAATAGTATTTAAATAATAATCTTACCTGAGACCTCAGATTTAATTTTAAATTTCCATTCACTACTATAGCTGTTAATACACTTTGCAATAGTAGTGCAAAAAAAGTATTTATACCAAATATTAAACCATAACTATCTTCTGATATGCATTTTGCAACTTCAAAACTGTAAATTATACACATAAAATTAAAATATATGTGACCTATTATTTTATTTGTAACAAATAATTTCATATGAAACTGAACCTTGCAACAGTAACCATTGTATGATAAATGATTCCAAATACTATATACATAGCATATAACAACCAAATACTGCAACTATATGAAGATACCACTAATAAAATACCTTCCACAAGTGACATAGATGACACTACTATGTCTCCAATTAAAGACCAATTAAATGGTATCTTCCCAATACAGAAAACAGTGATTGTACCTATTAATAAAAATAAATATATTGTATTACTATCACAAATATTAATTTATATATATTATACTATGTTACTTTATCAATTAAGTTATACATTGTGCAAAATAACTTGTTCACCTATAATTGTATATAAAGCATCTACAGCTCCATTGTAAATTTTATCTCCAGGGACTACAGCAGTTTGCCACAATAATTGTATATAACTAATTACTTGCAAATATCCACAAGTTGAAAATGACCACCATATTGACCATTTTACAACATGACTATTCAAATATGCTTGTAAAAAATCTTTCCATAATAGAACATAAGCTTCTTTAACTTTATGTATTAGTGAAATATTAGAAAAAGAACACTCAGATTGTTCAGAACCGTGTAAAACTTGATTTATATCATTTTGTTGCAATACAGTTGTTCCATTATGAGTTAAGAAATTATTCTTATTTTTTCTATGAAAGTAAATAGACTGGCCAACTGAAGGTATAAAGAATGTCCATATTGTTGCAAATGTAACAGCTGAAAGATGAAAATTATTTCATGTTATGAATTGAATTTTTTAATAGAATATGTGTTATTAGAAATACAACAACCTACAATAAAATAAATTTCTTATAAATCAATCAAATTCCTCTTCTAAATTAAAAAATTTAATTTAAAAGCTTACAAATATAAAAGATCTTTTGCCATATACTAATATCTAAATTATTATTAAAAAAAAAATATAACACATATTATTTTTATCTCACATTAATATGAAAATGATCATTTCTATTTTATATAAATGCACAAAAATAAGTACCTCCAATTGTAAGATAATTTAATTGATGATAATTTAATATATCAAAAGATACTGTTAATTGTGCAATAATACCAGCCATACAACGACCAACTAGAGCTGCTGCTTTTGTATGACTAGTTACTTCCTGATAATGTTTTCTGTCAACTTTAGCATAGATATATGTGTAATATGCTACTTCCGTGGATAAAAACAAGCCATAAAAGAATTCTAAAACTTGCATAGTTAAAACATCTTGTCCAAGTATTATTAAGAGAAATGTAATAGTTCCAGAAAGGCCACATAAAATAATAATTGGCTTATATCGTACAAAGTCGGTTATTAAAAATACAATAATTAATGTTGCAAAATAGGAATATGTGGAAACAGGAAATATTTTCTGGTTTACCTGAAAAATAATGACAATCTTAAAAAATTTTTTATTGCAAATGTATTATGTAACAACTGTTCAAAATAAAGAAAAAATTCAACAAAAAGAATACATATAAAATTCGCAACATTTTCAAAATTATTCATCAATTTCTATAACTACTACTATTAACTACTACTTATTATTATTATAACTACTACTAATATTAGTCATTATGTATATAATTTATTTACTTGAACATCTGTAAAATTTTTCCATGGTCCTGTTAAATAATCAGTCACAAAGGACTCTGAAGGCCTAAACTCTTTAAAGCAACCAAATACACACAAAATACATGAAATTATTATCCACTTCATACTAATAGCATACTTCTCTTTCCTGCTTTGCTCTGATTTGATTTCTTAAATTATATTGTGCAATATCCTTTCAACATCTTTTTATGTCACATATCATTCATATTTCATTCAGAGTATCTAAAAAACACATGTATTACCAATTTACAAAATTGATTTGATCATTCTATGTCATCACTCAAATCATGATCACTAGCTTTTTAAATATATGTAATTTTGAACTTTCTATTTCACTGGCACTAAAATTTTCTTCTACATTTAATCAATTTCTAAGAACTATTTTCCTATGATATTAATTTTGTTAACATTCAATATTGTTGCTTTAATATTGTTGCCAATAATATTACAATTATAACCAAATTTTATAAAACATTAATCCTTTCTTATAATACTCAAACAAGCAATAATTTAAAAACTTACTGTCTACGTTGGATATTAATTTTATTTTATTCATGTATTATTGTCACAAATAACTTTATTATTTAAAACGTCATAGCACACAACTCACAACTTAAACGATACTGACAGTCCCGACCAACTGTACATTCACTAGCTCAAATTGTAAGATCGAACACGATGAGGGCGCGACAATCTTATCCTTATCATACAATAAGAAGTTAAAGGAAGGGAAGATTTTATCGAATTAAGCTGGCATCAAGTGGCGTATATGTGTATACAATTAAATAAATTAAGATTAAATGCCATTAGAATTCTTCGAGCGCACGCACGTGATTTATGGTATCATCGAACAGTTACAACAAATCGATTTGTATGCAGTTACACGAATCCAAATGTAACATTGTACAATGCGTAAAATCCATTGAGCAATATTCACCAGTCTAATTTTGAACAGACCGATTCATGACAAATGCACTTTGCATGTACGCACTTTGAACTAACACTCATCTGAAATTATATATAAAATGTTATTTTAGATGATTTAGTCACAATAAATAAGTCAGAAGTTCTTACAGCCATATAATGTAATCTGTTAAAATGTATCGTACAAATGTAAGCATAACAACCACTACTGCTTACTTTCTTTTATTTCTAACTTTTATTTTTAATTAATATAACATATATATTTTCATGCAGTATTTCATGTATCATATACTTTATGTCATCATAACATAATTTATAAAAAATTATCTTTTATAGCAAAATGGGCAACCCCAAAGGGCAAATACTGAACCCATTCATCAAAATCGAACAAATGGAGGAAGGCAACCTCCTCCTATAAATATTCCAATAACAGTTTCAGAGCAATTTAGAGAATCATGGTTAACTGCTATTATTGGACTTATTATGTTTGCAACTGGCATGTGTCTTTTATTTTGGAATGAGGTTTGTGAATTGATTAAACAGAAAAGTTTGTATTTTAAAACTACATTTATTATGTAGTTTATTATATAGTATACTATATCCATAATATTATAGGGAAGAGCGGTGAAAGTAGCACATTCTTTAGACGAAGCTTTACATAATGTAGCAGTGCTCCCAAATACGATGAAATTATTACCTGAATATGAAGGACGTTTGATACATTTATCAGGTCCATTAAAGATATCAGAACCATTAACTGAACCTGATTATGGCGTGATTGTATCAAGTGTGAAACTGAAACGCAGAGTTCAGATGTACCAATGGGTTGAGATAGAAGAAGAAAGAAGGTATGTTATAAAACATGTTTCTTTTCATTATATATAAATTTGTATAATTTATCATTTATGTAATTTAGCTTTGGAGGAGTAACAGAGGAAGAAAAGCATTATTATTACACAACAGAATGGAAAGATAAACTTGTTGATTCAGATCATTTCTATATTAGAACTGGTCATCATAATCCAAAAGAAATGCCTATTAAAAGCCAAGTGCAGATTGCAGATGAAGTTAAGATTGGTGCATTTACTCTTGGAACTGAATTGAAAAAGAATTTTAATGATTTTGTAGAAGTTACCAGTGATGAAAGACCCGAAAGTAGAGATATTAAAATGCACTCAGGTTTATACTATCATAGCTCTAATTTATGGGAACCTGAGGTATACAACTATACCTTTGAATCTATTATGAACTTAAAACAATATACTAAATAATTGACCTATTTGTCTATAGGTAGGTGACATACGTATACAATTTTCCTATGCAGGAAAAGGAGGAGATATATATTCCATAGTTGGCATGTTGCAAAAAGGAACTATTGTGCCATATATTACAACACATGGAGAAGAAATTTTACTTCAACGAAAGCACAAAATATCAGTAGATCAGATGTTTCATTTAGAACATGTGCACAATTACTGGCGTACGTGGAGTATTAGGTAACATAATTTTCAATATTCCTCGAAATCTTAAAATTTATTATTATAATATTCCTAATTATTTCAGAGGGCTTGGATGGTTAGTCCTATTTTTAGCAGCAACATGTTTAGCAAACATATTAAGGACAGTAATTCTGAATTCAACATTCTTATGTGGAATTATTGCAGTTGAATCTTTAACAATGTCTGTATCAATGTCTATTAGTTTACTAGTAATTGGTTTTGCTTGGGTTTGGTATCGACCAGTAATAGGTCTTTGCCTAGCATTAGCATCAATTTTACCATTTATTTATTCAACATTAACATCAGCATCTCAATCTCAAAACCGTGATAATTATAGAAGGCTATGAATTTTTATTAAATAATTAAATTTTATTTATGTAAATATATTAACATATATCCTCTTTTTAATTATACTTCAATGTGTTTATTTTGTGTGATCTAACAAAAAATGTTATTATATCTAGTCTTACTAAATTTCATCAATTATATCGTAAACTGTTATATTATAGAAATGTCAATAGTTATAAATATCTAAAATGTAGGCAATAAATTATTTTGTAAACATTAAATACCTTTGTATAATTTTATGAATTAGATTATTTCAGTAATAACCTTTTCTTACCCTTAATTAAAAATCTTATGATGTGCAATATTATTCTGCGAAATTTTGAATATTATAATTTATAAGAAATAAATATCCGTTTTGATTTTATTCCCTAGATGTAAAATACATGTACATTGAAAAATTCCCTAATAAATGGAAGTTTGTTTTTCCTCTATCCATCCAATAATATTTTTACGATTTAGTAAAACAAGATGGCCGCGAAAACTTTGTAAACGGAAACGTTTAATTTGATGACTCGAAGAAAAATTGCATGCTTTGAATATTATTTTTGATTAGAGTGTATCAGATTGACACAAAATAGACCCGATTTGCCAAGAAATTAAATAAATGTAGATGACAATGACTGAGGAAACACAACAATCCGAAACAGCCGCACAAAATGAGGCACAAACTAGTTCTCCAGATGTTGGAAAAGTTAAAGATAGTAAAAAAGAAAAATGCCGACCTATGACTAAGGTATATTTGATTAAAATGATGCTGAAAATTTATGAGCCTCCATAAAATACTTTTCAACCACGCAAACATGATATATTTAATGAAACAAAGATCGAAGTTAAACTTTCGATTTTTGAAACATTTATAACATAATTCTGTAAAAAGATGCTATTTATTTGATACATCGCAGATAAAGTACTCTCACAGATATAAAACAACAAATCGTACATTTTATATGACAATAAATATAACATTATTATAGGAAATGAAAAAGACAATTACATGTCATGTGACATTCTTTATTATCTTATTTTTTGAATAAAAAGTAAAAAATATTTAACTAATATGTTAATAATAACTCGTATAAATTTTTGTAATCATTATAAAAACCATAACATATTATATATTTTAATTCAACTTTAACCAATACATATATGTATATATATATATATATGCATAATGAAAGAAATAAAATATATTTATAGGTAGTAATACGGAGATTACCTCCAACTATGACTCAAGAACAATTCCTAGAGCAAGTTTCTCCATTGCCAGAACATGATTATCTTTATTTTGTAAAAGCTGATATGTCTTTGGGACAATATGCTTTTTCCCGTGCATATATTAACTTTGTTGAGCAACAGGATATTTTTATGTTCAGAGAGAAATTTGATAATTATGTATTTGTCGACTCTAAAGGAACAGAATATCCAGCAGTAGTAGAATTTGCACCTTTCCAAAGGTTACCAAAGAAAAGAATAGGAAAAAAGAAAGATTTGAAATGTGGTACAATAGAGTCAGATTCATATTATATAAGTTTCTTAGAAAGTCTTAAAAATCAAGAAGCTGAATCTAATGTATCACAGCCAAAAACAGAGTACTCATATCAACCACCTGATAGTAAGTTATTTTTTAACAACTTACATGCTGAAATATTACATACTTTTATGTATGAAATGTATATTTATGAATTTATATTTATTTTGTCGTTATAGATACACCAAAAAAAGTTACAACCACACCTCTCTTAGAATATGTGAAACAACGTAAACAGGAGAAACAACGTCTCAGAGATGAAAAACGTGAAGAAAGACGACGAAGAGATCTAGAAAGGAGGCGGACAAAGGAAGATCCTATTATATCTAAGGTGACACTATATTTTATAATGTATTCATTTATTATTCTTGACTTACTAAATAGACTAATTCTAAATATGACAAATACAGTATAGAATAAAGGAATTATTAATCAGATATGTAATGGAAATTGCTTTTAGCAACATATTAAATTTAAATTTTAAGTATTATATTCTCTACTGTATTTGCTGATACTAATCTTTCAACCTACAGTCTGCATGTAATATTGAAGATAATCAGACCAAGTATTCCTACCTTTGCACTTCCTCAACTGTCAAGTCAGAAGATATATTTTTTGATCATCCTACTGAAAATCTAAATATACCTCATGAATGTAAAGAAGAAATTTGCAGTAGTGGTACTGCAAATATGACACGAGCTAACAAAACTTTGTTAAATATACAACAACAATTTTACAGAAACGAGAATACAGAAGTATATATAAATTGCGTTAGAAGTATGCCTCATGTTAATGAACGTTGGCAATACACTAATAAACAACGAAAATTATTTTATATTTACGAAAAAAACTATAAAGAAAAAGATTCTAATTGCACAAAAAATAATTACAACCATATTAAAAATAATTATATTTATAATAATACTAAGTGCACATCTCATTATATTAATAATAAAAATTATTTTTCTGTCTTATCAAAATCTCAATTTACTAATTTACACAAAACTTGGAAAATGCAAATACCAATGGAGGTATCAAAGTCAAGAAGTTGTAGTGCTGTGTTTGACTATCATAAACTTTACCCTTTTAAAACTTGTGAAACAGCATTCCCAGCATATCGTAAAACTTCATGAAATAGGAACTGCAAGTGGTTAGCAGGGAAATTCATGTTTTATGTATTTATTTATCGCATGTTAAAAAGTCATGAGGATTAAAGAACTATTCATCACACTTATACGACCTAGTTCAATGCTATGTATTGTTTCTGTTTAATATTGTATTCTAAATTTATATACATTTATTAAGATGTAATTAATTTATTATTGTTTAATTTGTATACATTAAATTTTGTAAAAGAAACTGTTTTTAGAAAAAAATGTGAAAATTCTGTGTTACTTTATTGTAATTTATTATTTCAATTATCATATGCCTAACTCCATTAAAATTTATTAATATTAAGATCAGTAAAAATAGTTTACTTAAAATAAATATTTAACTTTGTTGTAGGTATTGAAAAATCCAGATCTTGATAAAGAAATGTGTAAAGATAATAAAGAAAATAGGGAGGAAAAGGATAAACTTTCACCCAAAGATATAAAAAATCGTATTAAGAAAGAGGATAAATTACGTGACAAAGTACCGCGTGATCGAGATTCCAAATCAATAACAAAAGGATATAGGGAAAGAATTGAAGATAGAAATAAAGATAGAGATATAAAACATCAAAGACGACATGAAGATAAAAAGATTTATGGAAGACGTGATGAAAGAGATGGTATAAAAGATGATAGAAGATTTGATGGAAAAGATGATAGAAAATATGATTTTAAAGAAGATACTAAAGATTCTAGGGAACGAAAGATTGAGGAAAAACGAGGTAAAAGTTATGAAAAAATGAGGCAAGAAAAAAAAAGGCTTGCAGAAACCAAAAAACAGAATGTAGAATTTAGTGTTGATACAGAAAATAGTGCAAAATTAAGAAGTGAAGACGAAGAATTCCAAAAGAAAGAACCACCAGTTGATTTGTATGAAAATATTAAAGAAAATGACGAAGCTATGGGTGATAAGGAGGATGCTAAATATAATAAAGGAAAAGAGAAACAAGAAACTAACGAAAAAAAGATTCTAATAGAAGATTCTGTGCATGATTTTGGGACAAGAGATCAGAAAAGGACAGGTAGAAATACTATCATATTAAAATTAAATGAAATAGAAGATTCTAGTATATATAAATGTCTTACTTGTAAAATACTAATACGTTATTACTTATAGAAACAGCAGTTGAAAGTAACAAAGACATTGAAAAATCAAAATCCAATGAAGACATTAATAAAGACATTAATGAAGATGATGAATCTGAAGAAAAGAAGGATTCAAAAGTCACAAAAAGGCGAAGTTCACTTGAAAGTGGAGGGGAAGGTGGTACAGGAGATGGAAATTGTTTAAGGAGACACAAGTCTTTAGATGGAGGAGATCAAAATAACTTACAAAAGACTGAAAATGAAGATAAAGAAAAAGATAAAAAGGATCCACGATTAGAACGTCGAATTAGAAATAAAGTGTGTATTTTTTCTTCCTTAAAATATTAAAAATGTTATTTAATTTTTATTTAACTTCAATTAATTATTTATAAAAATATTGTTTATTATAAAATAATAGGATCGTCCTACCATGGAGATCTATCGGCCTGGAATGGGAAAATTTAGCAAACAAAGATTAGAACGAGAGAAATCTAATACTAATGATGAGAGAGCATCGCTTTCGCAAAGTCCTACTCCAAACCCCAATTCTAATAATCTTTGTAAATCAGGAAAACCTGGAACTGAAGTGCGATCTATGACGTTTAAACGTAGTATTAGTCGTGATTTGGTATAACAATCGCTAAATGGAAATCTTTTTTTAACATCAGTGATATATATGTTGAAACTGTATTAACATATAAGGTTTTTACACTAGTCTTTCTCACGACATACAATATCACACAGTGTATCTTATTATACACAAATGCATAATAAAATATAGTGTTCCACTTACTGCTGGAAAATTCATGTAGCTGCAGATGTATAAAACTTTCCATATTAAGTAATTTGATATATGTAATACATTATTTTCTGTTTAATCCTTTTGTTGTGATATATATATATATATACTATACTATATATATATATATCATATAGTATATATAGTATATATAGTATAAAATATATAGTATAGTATATATAGTATAAAATATATATATATATATTTTATACTATTATCATTAATCATCTAAGTGTTCCATCAAGTGTTCATAATTTTCATTAAAATAAATTTTTCTATAATATTTTATATTTTATATAAAACTGCTATACTTTTTCATAATATATTCTAAAAGGAGAAGAGATTAAAAATTAAGATAGAGATAATATTTTAACATTAAAAAGATTTTTGTGAAGGAAATTAATTTACATTAATTTCATTTTATATTTGATGCTATTAAGAAAAAAAGTACAATTATAAAAAACAATTTTATATTTTATTCGATTTTTATTAAAATGATCAAGATATAAAAGTATATTTTTTTCACTCGCTTTACTTCCTGAACTTAAGCTACATAACAAATTACAAAATGAGGTATATCTACACATATATGCAAACTTTAATGGTTTTGTTTTGATTGAGATAAACGTAGTGAATATCTTTGTGAAGAACGCATTGACGTACTAATTTGTTTATTTTTTTTCCGTAATGGCGACGGTGACGGTGCAGTTGAAACTGAACTAACACGCTTGTTTCGACTTAATGTTGAAACACTTCTTGTTGGTGTATTCACTGTAGCTAATATGAAAGAAATAATTATTAAATATAATGAAAAGATTATTCATTTAGCAAGATAATACATACATTGTTTTCTAGAAATTTTCTTTGATACACCATTATCTGAATCTGAATCGGAACTCGATTTATGTTCAGGCGATTTTGGTTTTTTAGAACTTTCTACTAAAACAATTACATGTTAGGTAATAAATATGTAACTTTAAGTAACTATTTTCATATAGGAAGAAATGTACTTTTTGTTACGGGTGCTGAATCAGGATCACTATCAATATTATCATCCTCTTCTTCCTCGCTACTACTACGTTTTCTGCGTCTATTATTGCGCTTTTTTAATTTTGGCACTGGTGGTGGTGGCATTACTTCACTATCATCTTCATTTGACTTGTCTTTTCCTTTAAGAAGTTCTTCTATTTTTTCTTCCAATTCTATACATGCTGCTTTTGTATTTGGTTTTTTCTTTGTTTGTTCAATAACAGATTGTAATGCTTTTAAAACTTGTTTATGATGAATTTTGTCTTTCAGTAAAGGTAAACTTTCAATGAGACGATGTATACCTAAATAAAATTCATTAATTATATAAAAAAATGATATTTCATAAAATTTTGAACGCATTTTTAACTTTTTAAATAAATATATATTCTTATGTATACTTTTCGCACTAAATTGCAAAAGTGAAAGACAATACGCGAAATCACGCCATTGTCTTTCTGTCGTAGCCAATTTAAATCTAGCACAAATCTTATCAATAATGGCATCAACTTGTTTTTCTTTTTGTAATAAATTCAAAATATACCTGGAAATATTTTGAACAATAAATTAATTGCAGTAAATTATCGTATTTTTATGATTTCCCTTTACTAACATACATACTTCAGAATTTCCTGAAAATCTGATTCTCTTATATCTAAATCAGGATCAGTTAAGCGAGATAATATATCAGGCATCACATTGTAGAGAGCATTGCCTTTTTGTGAAAGTGCTTTGAAAAATTGCTTTGCATCTTGTCGAATTTGAGGATCTTTATCAATTATACAGAGAGCTAGTTCTGATATCTGACCTCTCACACGCACCATTTCTCTCATTATAAGACTTGATAAAACTCGAACACAAGTACTTCTTACATTCATATCTTCATCACGAAGTCTATAAATTAATTATGCTTTAGGCAGATAACCTAGATAGTAGAATAGGATAATGAAATTGATTAAGCTCTGTTTTTAAATACCTGCCATAAACATGTTTCATCCATGGTTCAATTTGATTTGGAAATCTAGTTGTAAGATCGCTTATCCCAATAAGAACATTGGCCCGAATATTAGGATATGGTGAACGTTCTAGTATTGTAATTAGAAGTTGTAATGATTTTTCACAAAACCTGGAACTCACTGTCATCATTTTACTGAGAGCAAGAGCTCCAGCAGCTTGTACATCTTCATCATTATACTTATCATGATATTGGCATACATCTAGTACTAATGGACTGTAAGAATTTTGGTATGGACATTTACTCAGACAAATAATGTTAGTATGGTAAAAAGTATGGGCATTAAAAACGCACATAAATGTTACTAAAAGTCCATCTCCAGTTACAATATGATTTTCAAGAATGTCATTTATAAACTCTGCATCTGCATCTTCTGCCGCACCTTCCACAGCATCCTCTCCATTATCTTCTAAAATGCTTATCTAAGAACAAAAATTAATAATTGAACAAATTTTAAAATAAATATATGTTATAAACAATATTATATACCTCCTTATTGCGAAGTATTTGTCTTGCACAATTGGGAGTAACTGATCTTCGAGATCTATCCAAATTTTTATTACTTTTATTTGAATTCTTCTCTTCTCTTAATTTTCGTATAGTATCTCTTCGTTTTAATTCTTTGTAGACTGATGTATCTAAATGTACCATTTGTTTAATTGAAATATGTCCAACTAAATATAACAATTTAGATATCAAAAAGAACGGAACAGTATTTTCAGATGAATCATTATTAAATTTTCCCTGAATACAGATTTGTAATAATAACTGCTTCATTAAGCGATCGGGCTGATTTGCTAACTGAAATATTAAAATATAGTTTTAGTAAAGCTTAAATATAAAATTTAGATTATATCATTAAAATACTTGCATGATAAATCGCATTAATGGCATCAGTTGCAAATGAAATATATCCATCATTTTCTAAATTTGCAAAATTTTCTATTAGTAAAGTAAGAATTTCTTTAAACATTTCATGATCATTGGGATACCTATGAATAATGCACTGATCATTACTATAATTATTGAATGCATTTGAACAATTATTTAATTCTTACTATTTAACATACCTAACAGGTGTCTTTTCAATATCATCACTCATATGTTTTATAGTTAGTAATGCCCTACATGTATCTCTGGCTAATAAAAGATCATTCTTTGCTCGTGATCCAAGCCCTACCTTTATTAATACCTCTAAATTATCAATTATAATACTGCTTTGAGCTTGAGCTATCATTGTTATTAACATTAAAGCAGATCTGCTATCTAATAAATCTGTGTCTGATGATTTCATCGAAAATTTTTCCCATAGAACCTATTAAATAAATCACAAATATACATAACTTGCTTATAACATAAACATATAAAATTAAAAACCATAATATATTTATATCATTACCTGTAATATGTCATTGCCTATATCTTTATTATTATACCATGTTAATATAAGCTGAGTTAAAGCTTGACTTTGACCTGGTTGAAGTCCTTTTAATAAATCAATTAATGATTTAACACATGTAAGAGCCTCTTGTCGTTTTAACTTTTGATTTTTATGATTATTTAAGTAAATATCTTTATACACTAATGCTATATTGTTTCTTACTGATTGATCACGATGAAATACTTGAAATAAAGCATCACGTATAGCGGCTGCAGCTCCAGCTACACCAAATTGATGAGCAATTCCAAGTAAAGTACATGCTTCGATAGCATCGGTTGCTGTAGTAGAAAAAAGTAATTTTTCCGCCATAGGTATAGCAACCTCTAATTCAGTTGCAAATTCCAAACAATTCTAGAAAAGTATATTATTATGTATATAATTTTTAAACGAGTAGTTTATTATGACTAACATAAAATGCTTGGAAACATACTTTTAAATAATTTACAACTCGTTTTGATATTATTTCTTCTTCCTCTTTGTTTTTATCTGTTGAATGTACTGCATCTACATTTTCTCCTATGTTATCTAAATTACTTTCAGATTCCATAAATGTTTTCAATAGAAGTAAAAACAGACATTCTTCTTTTGCTTCAGGAGAAAGAACTTCTATATCTGAACTTTGTTTTAATTTTATACAAACTTTCCACAAATATGTTACTGCTTCGAGAATTTTTTCTTTTAATATTAATTGTCTTACATGTTCAAACGCTGTATCAGAATTAATATCTTCTTCTTCAACTTCATCATCTGATATGTAAAATACAAATATACGTTTAGATTAGATATATTTGTCATAATGAAACAAAATATACAGATTCTATATGCACCTTGGCTTTTGTCCTTTTTCTTTCCTTCATCAGTAACTTCTTTTAATGCTTTTCTTATTTCTGGAAGTAAAGTATTCCATAATTCTAATCTTTGTTTGTCACCACGAGCACTTTTACTAACTCTTTCAGTTTGCAACTTTCTTAATTTTATTTCTTCTTTTTCTAATGATTTAGAAATTTCTACTTTATTTAACTGTAAATATATTTCATATTACATATAATTTTACTTTTAACCCAAGACGATTATATAAAATATAATTTTTCCCACTTACTTTCCCTGCAAATGGGTTGCTTTGTAATAAGGCACGCATTAGTTGTAATGCATGTTTTCGTACATTTGCACTTTTATCTTCTAAACGTAATGCAATAGTAGCTAAAAGTTTTCCTTGCCTTGCTAGTGGAATAGCTCCTTCACAACATAAATGTTGCCAAACTTGTAAAACTTTTGATCTGACATAAGCATTGTTATCAAGAATATGTTCTTCTAAGTTATTAAGGCACTCATCACGTTGATCCTTCTGTTCTTGCGTAAGATCATCTCCAGTCAATGCTTTTTGTACAACCTCACGTATAATACTAATAGTACAATTTCTCATAGCATAATGCTAAACATAGTAGTAATAAATATAAAATAAATGTAATATGTACTTTTATAGCTGAACTAATGTAAAATGGGCTACCTCGCTACCCAAATAATCCATCACATCATCAAGAATAGGAATTATGAGATTTGGTGCTGAAGCAGCAATAGTCTCTAAGAATATTGATATATTACGACTGTCAAGTTCAGATAATTCACTTTGATCAATCTCTTTCATTATTTCTTTCACTAAACCATTACAACCACAATCATTAATCATATGAATAACTCCAACAGCCATGTGAGATGCTAATGCATCATGTATTTTCACTAACTATAATATTGAAATTTAGTCACTTAGTATATTTTTATATTGAAACAAAACTTTTAATTATTGATATACATACCTGAATAATTCTTATCACACAGCTTATACCATGATTATATTTTTTAATTGAAGTACCTAAAATCTTTTTAAAAAAAATTAATAATTACATATCAAAACAATTAAAATCAAATTAAATTAAAAATAACTTGATGGAATATGTAGAACTGTACCTCGAAAATAGTTTGCCTCAGGGATTTCTGTTTTGAATCTTTACATTGTTCCAAAATTTTATAACACACTTTAGTGAATAATCTAAAATATAAGAAATCATATATTTATCTTACATATATATATTAAAATAATTGCTTAAATTATAACTATGTGTTATATGTAAACAAATATTTTTTGATGATTAATGCGTATAAACATACACAATAAATGAGTCTTCTACAATAGGAGGTTGCCAAAGTTTTGATAATGGTAATTGTAACAATCTATAGATGTACTCTAAAGCTTTCTCCCTACTATTTTCCCACTCATCTTCCATATCCGACTTTGTAGATTTTTTACGCTGTGAATGAAACAATATTATGAAAATATTATTTATAAAAAGGAATTATTAACATAATTAGTACAATTAAATTATAGATATCATACCTTGCCTATTAATTTATCACATACATCTTTAAAAACCTCATCATCTATATGGCAAATAAACCAAGAAAATAAATATGCCAGCATTTTATTTATATTTAACAAACTCAATCTATGTTCCTCTTCCAACTCATTTCCTCTTTCGAATATACTTTCCATATCAAGTACTAACATTTCAATACCTTCATGAAATAATAATTGAAGTTAATATTATCAGTTATATGCAATGTAATAATTTAAATAATTATAATATATAGTAACCAAAAAAAAGAATTTTGTTACCTTTTTGAATTCTAGTAAAAGCACGCATAATAATTGCTAATTCAACTTTATTTCCATGAACAATTATAGAGAAAAATGTATTAAAATGGTCTAAAATGAAACTGGCTCCATTTGCTTGGAGTGCTGATCGAATCTCTGTAGTAAGATTAAAATTACTGTAACAAATACTGAAAGTAATGTATAGAGATATATAAAATTTATGAAATACCATCTAGAGCTTGTGGTAACAATCGTATTGGAACAATTTCTTTAACAAAATATTGTCCACTCCGACTTTGTAAAAGTTCATCTTTATTTACAGGAATAATAAAGTCTTTGATCATTTTTATTGATTATTAATATATAGCTTTTTGAAAAATTACCACTTCATTTATAAATCTGAAAATTTAGGTTTGTATAATATTTTATAAAAATGCGAATTATAATAATATTTGTAATCAGACACCATATACACGAACGCTCGTATATTGCGACTGTTTGGAACTATCATTTTCAAATTCATTATAACCAACATATTAAACATAAATTTATATTTTTCTGTATTTACATATCGGATTATATACATAATAGGAAAATATTGCGCGTTAAATATTCTTTAGATCTTTATCTTAGATATTGAAACCGTTTTGTTCTTTATTAAATTGATTTAATAAATCCTTATGCATTTTCTTCCAGATCATATCGCAATTGTTTGTGTTGGCGAAGCTGAATTTTTAAAACAATACGTTATAATTTAACAGTGACGCGATGTCATTAGAAGTAGAAAATGATTTAATACGAGTAAATAATCAATTATGTGATTTTTCTAAGGATGGAAGATTTTTTGCAACTGCATATCAAACAAATTTAACAATAAAAGGTTACAAGAAATTTGACACTATTCATTCATTCGTATTTCCAGATATAATCGAGGTTAGTGTATATGATTAAACAGATAATATATAGACAATTATTATTTTAATTTTTGTTATTATATATTTAATACTGTGAAATAAGAATTATATACTGTAAAAGAAATAAAGTGTTTATAATACCATAATTCGTTTTTTATTACATTCATTTTTTTTTATCACAGTATTTGGAGTGGTCTAGAAATACTGAATACATACTATGTGCAAATATAAAGAAAGCTATTATTCAAGTATATTCTATTCGTTATCCTGAATGGAAATATAAATTGATTGAAGGCAGTGCTGGTTTAGAAAGTGTTAGTTGGTCTCCTGATAGTAAATACATTTTGACGTTGTCAGATTTTAATGTAAGTAATAAATTTGATCGATATTAAATATAAATCGATATTAAGATTACTAAAATACTTAGATTCAGATATCTGTGTGGTCTCTGGACGATCAAAGTGTAACTCATATACAAAATATGAAATCTTCTTTCCATAAATTATATTTTAGTCCAGATGGTAATAAACTAGCAGTGGTAGTTTCAATTGAGGGTAATGACAATATAGAAATTTATAAAACTGACACATGGAAACTAAGCAAGGTAAATAGTTTAATTCAAATAATTCAGGTTTTAATATATAAAAATAACAAATATTTTTTACAAATTGTTTCATTTTAAAATGTCTATGTCATATATCTTAATAATATGATCAGATCCGCAACTTGCTAGTTGTAAAATATTAAAATCTTCCTTTTGAGGCCGAAATTTAAGCCTTCTAACAGTTAAGTGATGTGCTTGAGAAGTATCATACATTATGTATTTTTCCCATTCAAAATTATTAGAGAACATTTTTAATTTCTGTATTTCTATGCATCCAGTTTCAAATCCTATTGCTAAAACATAAAAATCTTGAGAAATACTCTGTAATGAAAATGCAAGTGCTGTAACTGAAACTTTTACATCCAAGGATGTAATTGGAACAATTTTATCATCCGTAAAGTTTGGATTCCAAATCCCAATTTTTCCATCCCTGGAACCTGTTGCAAAGAAGAATGAATCATGTGTCCATGAACAACACCATATTATACGAGTATGAAGACTATCTTTTTTTAGACTAGCTGCAATTAAGGTATACATATTGTCTTTACATTCAAACAATGACCATCTTCTGTCTCTGGAAACAGATAGTAGATATTTGTTATTGAGTGAAAATTCCATTTGTGTTATAGTTAATTGATGAGACATAAGTTTCTGAACTTGGACCCATGTATTTGTACTCCACAATAATATTGCAGAATGTTCTTGTGATGTTGATTTACATGCAGTTGCTAATAATGATCCATCATGTCTGGCAGCTATAGAGAATATTTCATATCCATGGCCATAAAGCTTTTGTAACTCTGGCCATAGTGTATTTTGCATTAACTCTTCTTCTGTTGGAGGAATATAATCCTCATTTTTAAACTTATTAACTTCTACATCTTCAATTGTGATATTATCATTAAATGTTGCCTTATTTGTTAGTCCAAGAGCAGGTACTGATGCACTATCAGCCACCATATTTTTGAAATCATCAACATTGGCAATCTTCATTAAACAGTTCCTAAATGTTGTTGGTGCTGTAAATATACGTACAACCTTTTCTTCTGCTCCTGAAGCAAACATATAAGGGGTTAGCATAACCAAACAAGACATATCATATCCATGAACTTGTGGACGTCCAATTTCATGCCAAAATTCTGTTTCATTTTTCCAAGCTGCATGAATTCTTGTTGTCTGATCTGTACTTGCAGTAATTAGAAACCTGTAATGCAATGTGTAATTGTATATTGTTTTGATGAATTATATGTATATATATTTTTAATATATATAATTTTGAATACAAACCTTCCATTTGGATCCCAGCAAAGATCAATCACTTCACTAAAGTGACCGCTTGGTTTAGACTTTGGAATCCAATTTTTTACAATATTTGAGTATTCCCAAATATGAAATGATCCTTGGTAACCATGTGCTAATATATTTAATCCATTATCACTAAATTTACAACCATAAAAACCCATTAAATTGCCACCAACTTCACCCACTCTTACTTTTTCGGACCAAATCCCAGTTACTTCATCTGGCTCCCATATAATCATAGATTTATCTAATGAGCAAGATAATAATCTTAAAATTCTATTCTTATTATCAAGCTGTAACGGACACCAATGTACGCCATAAACCCATCCTTCATGACCATAAAGGATAGATTCTAAAGTAATATTATATTTTATGCCATTAGCCATAAACACTTGTTCTTTCTGATGTAACTCATCATTTGAAAATTCTGTACTATTTGCAGAAATTTTCCACAATCGTATCATGGCATCTTGAGATCCACTTGCAAGGAAAATACTGTTATTTGTATCGCAATTAAAGTCCATACATCGTACCCAATCTTCATGCCCAACTAAAACTTGAACTTTTTCAAAATATGATTCTTCTATGATATTACAATTAGTTACATACAATTCAATTGTAAAATTTTCTATTGCAATAGCCAGAAGTGGTAAATGCTTATTTGGCAGGAAAGAAAAACAAGCTTCTATTGGTAATTTCTTATCAAATGTAAGCGTTTGTAAACATTTTACATTATCATCTGTATCTCTTAACCATATTCTTAGATCTCCTTTAACAGACCCAGTACATATTATCAATTTCGCAGATGTTTCCTCATTTACGGAGTCATGATCAGAAATGTATAATGAGTTGCAAAAGATTAGAGTATCATCAACTCCTATGATAGAGTTACATTTAAATAATTCATTTCTTTTGCTCCAAATAATAGCTGTTCCATCTACTGAGCTTGATAATAGCTCTGACTCAGGTTTCGCATCTCTCCGTTTAAGCCATCGTACAGTATTAATACGATCTTTGTGTCGGTGAAGAGTGTGCGTTATTTTTCCAATTTTTGAAATGTACGGATCATAAATTGCAACTGCATGACATGCTGCAAAGCAAATGAGTCCATTTTTTCCCCAATCAGCCGAATGTGGAACTCTATTGCAGGCACACGATATATAACTCGTTGTCATATCTTGTTTTTAATAAATAAATTAATTTTCAAAACATTAATTTAACCTCAAAAGTCATACACAAGTGCACTATGCGCTCTGTCTTCGTTCATTTCAAACCATGAAAGGTTATTATATTGCTACTACTATAGATATGAATTTCGTCTATATTTTTATCACCAATTTTTTTTGCTTATATTTTTCTTATATCTTGCGTTTTTTAACATGATAATTATGTAGTTTAATGACTTTTTTTAGTTTTGATTATTTGGCTTTTGTCTTTTTTGTCAGAAAATAAGGAAACATTTAAAAGATTCAATGCTTTTTCAACTTAACGTAATCTAATCTGACTCTACCTTTTTTAGTAAATTTTAAACGTTAGGTGAATTTAGCTGAAACAATATTGTATTTTTATTTATATTTACAAAGTAAGGAAGAATTTTTTAAAAAGTCCGTAAATACAATTTGATGCTATTAAAATTTAATGTAAAAGAATTAATTAGATTTTTATGATAAGATTTATAAAAAAAATTATAAAAACTTTATAATGATATCTAGAGTTTTCTACATGATATTGAAATCTTTTAATTTTAGAAATTAATATGTGGTCGTTTAAGTAGCATTGATGGATTATGCTGGTCTCCAAATAGCGAATTATTATGTATTTGGTCTTCCTTTAGCGACGAAGCAAAATTAATTATTTATTCGAGTATATTCGAAAGAGATATCGCAGTATTCTCTCCTACACAAACTGTAAATTTATCTCAAGTGGAATGTGCAAATTATACGTGTTTAAAAGGAATCGAAAATGTAACGTGGATGCCCAGTGGACAGTTATTAGCTGTAATAGGATTTAATGAAATGGTTTATAATTTTATATATCTTGATGAATTAAACTGCACTTTTATATTACTGCAAACATTTGTAGTAATATTTTAGTAAAAGTATTTGTATTGTAGATCTTACTGTTAAATCACGTGACATGGAAACCACTTTTGCAATTATATCTTGAACCCGTAATTCAAGAAAATTATTTGAATAAGGTATATGAAGAACGTATAATTCAACCAAAATTTTCGAATAAAAATACAAGATATTACGATAGACACGTTTGTAAGTAATTTTTTATAGACATTTATATAAATATAATTGATATTTAAGAAATTCGATTTTTATAGTGGAAGAGAAATCGGAACGACCAGTAAATATAAAAATAGGAAGGAAAAATATTATTGAGAGATTGTCAATTGCAAAATTTGATATTTTAAAATTTAGTTTTTGCGGGCAATACTTGGCCGTGAAACATCAACTTTATCCTACAACATTGTGGATATGGAATATTATTGATGATTATCTTGATTATTTACTTCTTGAAAATACTATCGTAGGTGAGTATTTCAACAATATATATTTTCTCTGTGCAATATCAAATTATATTAAAAATTTAATATTTAGCTGCAAGATGGAATCCTACACGCGCTCACCTTTTAATATTTTGCGAGTGTGCGTATATATTTGAATGGACACCACATAATGCGAGTTGTATATCAATTTCACGAAATATTACGGTATTAGATGCACGATGGCATCCTGGGGGAAATTCCTTGTTGCTTTGTGGTTATAATAAGGCGATTATTTATCAAATTGAAAATAAATGATGAACTATTCGAATAACATTCGAATATAATAAATAAACGCATATTTATCTTTTTACTTGTTAGTAACATTTGAAAAAATAATAAAACAAAAAATAAAATTCGATTTTAACGTATTTTCTAGTTAGATAGAATGGTTGGCACTACGTGGAAGAGAAGCATATAAATTCATTCATAGATCTCTAACTGCCACTATTTGTACATTTACTACCTCTTAACCTCCATTTTCCCAATCATCAAAATACAGATTTATAAATATCTTTCAAGTTAATTTATAAAATTATTTATATATATTATCAAAATGAACCCTCTTCACGTTGATTATGATTTCTTCTTAAACGGACAAGATGTGGATAGAGATACCACGTAAGTAAAACATAACCTTTTATATGCTACAAAAATAATGCAATAAAATAAAGATAATTAGAATGTATTATTAAAAGCATATCTTTTTAACACAAGAACTAATATTAAATATAATTAGATTATCGTCCGAGATACTGTTCTTGCATGTCTTAAAATTACTTTTGTAAATAATTTATAAAATTACTTATGTTTATCTGATAGAAACGTGTCAATGGAAGATAAAAGTAGCTCTATACGGAAAGCAGAACTGCAAACCTTAAGAATATCTGAAGAATCTGAACGCCAGCTGTACGATACTTTAAAGCATATTTATGGTCCTGTATGTATTCATAGACATTATAAATTTATTATTGTATACATATCTCTTAAAATGTATTATTGGGAAGTAACATATTTTTTTAACAGAGTTTTAAGCTTTCTGATGCATCAGAATTTGAAAATAAAAAGTCCAATCTAGACAAGCAATATTGGGTGGAAAGGGGCAATTTGGTCATTAAAGGAATAGTTGATTATTCTTCTAAGGATAGTACACCAAAAACCGAAGAACAAATTACTAGGCAATTTGCAACATCTAAACTTGAAAGTTATGGGTAAGTTTGTTAAATTTTAAATAATGGACAATTATAAATGACCATTTATATTGTTTTAAGTTTTCATCAATCACATTGCAATGAAGCACTATTACATACAGAGGGTGATGTAGGAAAAGCTTTAGAAATATTGTTTTATAAATATTATGGATTGGAAAATATAGCAAGAAGGAAGATACATGATGACATTGATACAATAGATTTATTGGAAAGAAAGAATGAGGAGAAAGAAGCACTCGAATCTATTTATGGAAATATGTTCACTGAAAAAATAAAAAATCAAATTTGGACTGTACAAGTTAAATTGGATTATTTAATAAGAAATGATGAAATAGGACAGGAAATTCCAAGGATTAGGCAGAAGCCAGAAAAGGGAAGGGAAAGAGAAGTTTGCAGATTATTTATTCATAAAAGATGTAGATTTGGAAATAGATGTAAATTTTCACATCAACAACCACAAGTATTAAGAATGCCTGAAAGAGAGAATCCGAGTTTTACCCTAGAAATAAGATTTCCTGAAGGTATTATAATTATTTACATAAAAAATATAAAATATGTTACGTAATTAATATATAAATTATGTGCAGACTTTATATTTAATCTTTTTAAATATTTCATTAGGTTGTAAATATCCTTATGAACCGCCTTATTTTTATTTGTATAAAAATGACGGTACATTTCCAAGTATAAATTGTTTAAGAATAGTAAGAAGGTTGTACGAAGAGGCATTATCAATATCTGCATATGGAACACCTTCTATTTTTTCAATAATATCTCTTTTGGAAAATGAATATGATATAAAAAGATATTTAGTAGAAAATAAAGAACAATTTCTAGATCAAAGTGAATTACTATTTCGAAGGCACATAGAAAATGAAGATGAAACAAATGTAGCTACTCATTACGAATTAGGGTCTATACATAGGAAAAACAGAAATAATATTAGTTGGGAAAGAATATTGAAAGAAGATGATCTAATTGAAAAAAATTTTAAAGAAAAGCTAACAAATCCCAGATATAACAAGATGATAGAAATTAGGGAAAGGTTGCCTGCATGGTCAAAGATGTATGAAATTTTAGATGTAATACACAAAAATCAAGTAATCATAATTTCTGGTGAAACAGGATGTGGTAAAAGTACACAGGTGCCACAATTTTTATTAGATGATTGGATTATTAATAGATCTGCATCCAAAGAACATATTAACATAATATGTACACAGCCACGAAGGATAAGTACAATAGGAGTGGCAGAAAGAGTTGCAGCAGAAAGAAATGAACGCATAGGTGACACAGTAGGATATCAAATACGATTAGAAAGTAAAATTTCTAATAGAACTAGATTAACATTTTGTACAACTGGAATTTTGTTGCAAAGATTTGCTGTGAATCCAGAATTATCAGATGTTACACATGTTATTGTAGACGAAGTTCATGAAAGAAGTGCAGAAAGGTAAGTTATCTATTATACTTATTTGTTTAATTTTATTTAACTGTTTTATCCTTTTTAGTGATTTCCTCTTGATGCTATTAAAAGAATTACTGTCCAGAAGATCAAATCTGAAAGTAATACTTATGAGTGCCACTCTTAGAAGTGAGATTTTTTCCACATACTTTAAAGGAGCTCCCATTTTATGTATACCAGGAAGAACGTTTCCTGTAGAACAAATCTTTGTGGAAGATGTATATGAAAAAACGAATTATGTTCTAACAGAACATTCAAGAGCTACACGTAGATATAAAGGTGGTTTGGAGCAACTAGAAATTAGCTATGGTATTGCATCACAGCTTGCAGCTCGCTCTCACTATGTACCTGAGGAATCTAGACCCGATGAAGATCTAGACTTAGAGAGGATTATCAAAAGATATAAGGATTATAATAGCCAGGCACAAAAAAATTTATATTATATGGATCATAATGCAATTAATTATGAACTTATAGAGACAACATTGCAGTGGATTACTTGTGGAGAACACAATTATCCTAAAACAGGTTCCATTTTAGTAAGTATTTTTACTAAGTTTTCTTATTATACGAAAAATATACAATATGTAGTTAAATTAATATTAAATTTGTAGGTATTCTTACCCGGATTTGCTGAAATTATTGCACTGAAAGATCGATTGAATAAGAATGAGTATTTTTCACCAAAGACTGGAAAATTTATTATTATATTATTACATTCATCTTTATCTAATGAAGAGCAAAGCTTAGTTTTTAAAAAATCTATCGCTAGAAAAATTGTATTAAGCACAAATTTAGCTGAAACGTCTATTACTATAGATGATTGTGTCTTTGTAATTGACAGTGGAAAGATGAAAGAGACCAGATTTAATTCGAACCAAAACATGGAAAGTTTAGAAATGTGTTGGGTATCACGAGCAAATGCATTACAAAGAAAAGGACGCGCTGGGCGTGTAATGCCTGGAGTATCTATTCATTTATATACCTCGTACAAGTATGTATAATTATTGTTCATTAAAACATTAAATCTTATAGTAAAGTTTACCAATATTTATTCAATTTAAACAATTGTTTCAGGTTCAACTACCACTTTTCAGCACAGCCAGTACCTGAGATATTACGAATTCCGTTAGAACCACTGTTATTACGTATTCAACTTCTACATAACGGAAGAAAAGTTGACTTACATGAAGTTTTAGGTAATAAAAATATATTTTTAGTTTTATATCATTAATTAACTTTCTAATATCCATTATAATATTCTATTTAGGTAAAATGTTGGAACCACCAACAGAAGAAAATATCAGTAGTGCAATTAAACGTTTACAAGATGTAGGAGCATTTAATTCCGAATGTACATTAACCCCACTAGGTCACCATCTTGCAGCATTGCCTGTAAATGTACGAATCGGAAAATTAATATTATTTGGAGCAATCTTCTGCTGTCTTGATTCCGCACTTACTATAGCAGCATGTTTATCTCATAAAAATCCATTTCATATACCTTTTGAAAAAAGACACGAGATTGATGCAAAAAAACAATTTTTTACTGCCAATTCTGATCAACTAACTATTCTCAAAGCATATAAGGTAAATGTATAAAAATATATAAAAATGTATATAATATATAATTATAATACATAATATAATATATAATTATATAATTATAATTATAATATATAATTATAATTATAATATATAATTATAATTATAATAATAATATATAATTATAATACAAAGATACTTTTTTTTTTGACAGAAATGGTTAGAAATATATACACGCAATACTAGTGCAGGCCATGCTTTTGCAAAAGAAAACTATCTGTCTGTGCGTACACTATATTCCTTGGCAGATATAAAGTATCAGTTATTAGAATTGTTAGTTTCAATCGGTTTTGTCCCCGTTAATTTACCAAAACGACAACCAAATGTTGACAAGATTATAGAAATTACTGGATTTGAACTGAACATCAATAATGATAATTATAAACTTCTGCAAGGTCTACTTTGTGCAGCCTTATATCCTAATGTAGTAAAGGTTCTTTCGCCAGAGAAATCTTTTCAAATTCAGCCTGCTGGGGCAGTTCCAACAGAAACGAGACCCGAACAACTTAGATTCCAAACTAAAAATGATAGTTTCGTTAGTATCCATCCATCCTCGGTCAACTTTCACGTTGGTCATTTTCCTAGTCCATATTTAGTATTCCAAGAAAAAGTGAAAACAAGTAAAATATTTATTAAAGAAGTATCAATGGTACCAATTTTACCACTAATATTATTCTCTGATTACGAATTAAAAATAGAAGTGCATGATGGAATATTTATTGTATCATTAGAAGATGGCTGGATGTTATTTGATGTTGAATCTCATAGGGTAAGAATATTTATTCGCGTTTGTTGAAATTAAAACAAAAAAGATGATAATTGTATGTTAAATATACTTTTAATGTTACTTAGGTGGCTCAACTTTTGCAAGGAATGAGAATGGAATTAGTCAAATTATTAGAACAAAAGATGAGGGAACCCCTTCTGAATCTATTAAATCATCAAAATGGAAAAAAAATTATCCAAACAATTGTAAGTGTAGTCACGAGAGAATAAAATATTATGTCGTAAATTTTTTAAACATGAATTATAAATTAATAAAAAAATATACATTGTAATTCATATATTATGCTATAAAAATAATTGTGTGTAATTAATATATACAATAATATTCGAAATATTTTTAACAATTACAAAATTTTTGTAAAATTTTATATTTTCTTTTAATATTTAAGAATCATATAAGATTTTGTCCTTCTTTATGTGTATAATTTTAGACAAATTTAAAAATATAAAAAATTATTAAATATTTTATTATAATAAAAATAATTATTTTTAAAAATATATAATCGTCATACTATAGTCGTGTTTACTTATATATACATGTCCTGTACATCAGTACCTACACTACAGTGCAATAGCATCACAATACGTGGTTGATAGAAATAAATATATTTACGTGGTACGTACGTATATGTAACGTCAATTTTATCAGAGGCCACCGCGCACCCTCAATTACTCCAGGGACCCACCATAAACCTAAACTTTTAAGTTTATTATTTCTGTTATCTGTTTATGGATGGTCCTTGAAACAGCCCTTAGGTTGTTATACATCCTTACTAATTACGGGGAAAGCAGGTAGTTTTACTTAATGGGAAAAACCCAATACTTGACTAACGAAAAAGCTGATTTTTCCCATAAACAATATTACCTACTAGCCGCGTTGACAGGAGGCTTTCTCCTCTTATCTTCATTTATTAACATGATCTATAACCAATTGGCATCGTGGATCGTTACCCTCACTTTTCCTAACGGAAGATGCGAACAGCCAATCCGCGTTGTTAATTAAAAAGGGCACACTCACACCGAGCTTTTCTCCGTAATGAGATGAGAACACCTGGGGAGAAATAGACAAACCATCGAACAGTAAATCTGATCTCTCCGATCAGTGTAAACTTGTGCTGTGCTAGAAAGTAAAGGCAATAGTTGCGTTACGACGCAGCTATTTTATTTTATTAACGAACCCTTAAATTTACGTGACATATACATGATTGATAGAAATAAATATATTTATGTGAAGTTTATGAAACTTTATACGAGAAATATATTTTCTTGCGTATTTGTTAATGGTTATAATACATTTTAAAGTGAAGTCTGCTTATTGCTATTGATCATAACCTGCAATTTAAAGTTAAATTATGATGAATACGGAAGAGGTTATAATAGAAGAAATGATAGAAAACAGAAATTCAAATAATGGATTTATGGACCTTATATCAAATGTTGAAGAAAGTAGTTGTGTTCCAAACAAAGTAATTATTGAAGATTATTCACTGTACAAAAAAACTACACAAATCAATGTTAATGAGACAAGTCAATTTACAAATGACTGCGAGGTAATTATAACTGATAATGCTGAAATTAAACAAAATTCTAATAAGAAAGATGACATGAATGAACAAGCCGAACAAAACAAATCAGTCGTACTGTCAAATACTAAACAAAATGAAATACTTATTAACGATACTGACAAAAATCAGAATACAAATGAAGATGTAACATTTGAAAACTTGGAACAAAAAAGTGATGATGATATTTGTATCATAAGTGAAATAAATACAGTATCTTTGGCTCAAAGTAAGGATATAGGGATATACTTATTATCATAATCAAAATTATAAACAATTTTGTTATATATATGTTATATTATACATTACAAATAATTTTGATATTAAATTAACAATTGCAATTTATGTTTCCTTTTTAACAGACAGTGATAAAGTATCTTCTCTTACTAGTATTGCTATAGAATATGGCAATTCAGATTCAGAAACAGAATTTAATACTGATGAAACAAAAAGTGATAGCAATCAAAATCAATCTTTGAAAGAAGTACAGATGCAAACTTATAGGCAAAATAAAGAAGTATCGTCAAGTGAAGAAAGCGATAGCGACGATTCTACTAGTAGCAGTGATTTTTCAGTAATAGTTGAATCAGATGATTCAGATAGTGATGATAGTTCAAGCAAGTATGCTATTCATTTTTGTAAATTTTTATACATTAAATTAATTTTATACGAAATTTTAAAGCAATTTCTTGTATATTTAGGAAAGGCAAAGAAAATAATGTAAGAAGAAAAAAGAATAATGAAATGAGAACTGAATTAGATGATTTACCTCCTATTGAAGACTTAAAAATTAGTGTACCTGAAGTATTATGTGATCCATTAGGAGAGGTATTTATAAATATTAAATTAATACATATATGGATAATCTTGAAAATAGGATAATATCTTCATAAGATAATATTAAATTACAGGTTGCATGGATGGTTGAACAACTAGTAGTTGTAAAACCAAAACCTGGCAAACCGACATTGAACCTAGATACAGTTTTATTTATTGAGAAAGGACAAAGGACATTAGGAAAAATATTCGATGTTTTTGGACAAGTGAATGAACCTCATTATTGTGTGCGATTCAATAGTTCTGAGCACATAAAAGAATATAACATTACAGCAGGAATGACTGTTTATTACTGTCCAAATACAGAATATACTTCTTTAGTATTTCTACATGAATTATTAAAGTGAGTTTATATATTTAAATATGTATATAATTATACATACCATTCTTATTTATATTTAGTACATTAATTTATAAGAAATTAAACATATAGTAAGCAATTTATGATTATTACAGAATCAGAGGTATTGATGCAAATGCGGATGATCCTCCAGAATTTTCAGATGATGAGGAAGAACGGGCTTATTATGAACAACTAAAAGCAAAACAAGTAAATAATGTTAATGAAGCTGAAAATCCGTCTAAACGAAAGCGTACTTCTAGTGAGTTTCTTATGTAATATTTATATCTTTTTATTTGTTAACATTTGTATTTTCTATTAACATTTATAATTTTAGAACCTACTACTGGATGGCAAACCAATCATCCGTGGAATAGAAGTATGCAGAATCAAAGGAAAGGATTTTATGCACGAGGAGATAGACGATTTCCTTCTACACAAACAGAAAATTATTCTCAGAATTTATGGTCACAATCCTATCAAACTAATAGTGAACCTTGTGGATACGGAATGTGTTCACTGCAACCTGTGCAATATATGAACCATAATGTTAGTGGTCTTAACCAAAACTTTTATGGCTCACACAATTACTATAGTGAAAATAGTAGCTCAACATATCTAAATCCTAGAATTCCTTTCAATACATGTCCAAGAGTTCCTCCAGGATACATAACACCACAAAATCATCCAAATTCATCTACAAATGTAAGGTTTCCTTGGCTACCACAAGTGTCACAAGTTCCTATTCGAATGAAATTGCCATGGATACCTATACCACCACCTCCACCTCCACCACCAACTTCATCACCATCAGATACTACTTCAACATAGTTAATATTAATTACTTATGAATTATATTTTTAATTTAGTTATATATATATAATTATATATTATATATATAATTGTATGTATATTGAAAATAATAGAAATTATATAATGCAAGTTATACATATATATAATATGAAATTAATAATTAAAGGTATTTATATTATAGACATTATCCCTAATTAGAGTAAACTATGAACTATAGCAAAGTATGAGTTAATATTATTTCCGCATATAGCGAGGAAATATTGCCATAACATGATCATATCATTTGTAATACAAATTATGATTATAGTACTCTTATACAATCAGATTATTCCTTAAAGAATGAATTATCTTTATAAACCGCCATATCTGATTTCTGTAATTGTTCTTTGGCAATTGTAATATCATCTTTTATCGCTCGAATTAATTCCTCTGAAATGATAATGATTAATATAATAAAGATGGGACAAATTTTGATACAGTTACTATTTACCTTCAGAAGTAAAATCTTTTTCTGGTCGTACATATCCCGTAAAAACAGCTTTAATTTGTTTCCCATAAAAATCGTTCTCAAATTTATGCATTAAATGTATCTCCTACAACAATGATACATTATTAAAAAATGGTTTCAAATTTTCATGTTATCAAGTATTCAATTAATTATAATTTACATTCGTACCACCGTCTTTTTTTCGTTTTTATAAAACGGATTCCAACCAATACTAGCAACCATTTTATAAGTTTGTCCGTCTATAGAAGCCCATCCATAATAAATTCCAGTACTAAGATCACCAGGCAAATTATTTACTACCTCGTCTTCAAGATTTGCTATAGAAAAATAATTTTATAACTACATACAATATTAACAAAATATTATTGAAAAAAATTATTTTTTCTTTTATTTATACAATATAATTAGTTTAACTTTCGCAAGTTTTTAAATCAAAATATTTCTTAATATAAAGCGATTAACATATCGAATAAACACACAAAATAAAATAGTGATTAATACGATATATAATATTAAATAACTTTTTAACATATTTCATATATTCCCGCCAATAAGTATACAATAAAGCGATTATGTCTTTCAATTGCATACAATTCTAAACTATTCTCTGCAACATTAACGTAATTTTAAATTGTTTCTGATTAATTTCAAAATTTTCGAATCTATCAAACAAAAATGAAATTGTTGAATGTTACCTGTAGGTATCCCCAAGGCTTTGGAACCTCTGCCAAACCCCCTAACTACCGACCCTGATAAAAAGTATGGTATGCTTTTGGTAGACATAACGAATCTTGATTTCGCGTCAGACTGTCAGACTAGTAACGTAACTAGTAGCGTGAATGAATGTTACTTTAATGCTTCATAATATATTATCTTGAAAGAAGATAAAGCGTTCGTTATATGACGTGGCACATTTACACGCTATTTAGTTGTAAAGATTCATGTTGATGAAATGAATAGACTACTTTTAAAACAAATTATTTAATATGTTATACGAATAATTTCATATTTATATAAAATAAGAATTAAATATAACATTGTGAATATACTTACAGAAAATTTGTCCTTAGATTTTTAATTCTGTTTAAACTGATAATTATCGCATGTTACGGGTTATCTGTGCATAACTTTTTTTTACTCCTGTATTATCATAACATAAATTAGTTTTTACAATTTCCTCTGACAACAATAAATTATTGAAAGTTGTTTATTTTTAGCTTGTTAGTAACAAAAATTTCAACATTGAAAGAAATATAAGCAGATTTATAAAATAAAATCTTCTTTTTGTGTTGAAATTCAATTATCTTCTTATTTCAATTTGAGCAATATTGAAATCATTTTTTGTCTTAATATAATTAAAGTAAAGTATTTTGCTATGTTTTTTTATTGTGGTATTACAATACAATTTAAATGATTAGTTAATAGTTCTATATTTACAAGTCAGCAAATAATGTGGTAAATTAGTATAGGTTAATACATTGTGAGCATTATATAATAAGAAATCAAATTTAAACTATTTATTTATCGAGAAACGTTACTTTTTTAACATGAGAAATATTTCTAAAAAGAATACAATATATTAATGTTGAATGTAACTTTTATCATATTTTTAATTAAAAAGGTATAAAATTATTATTTCCACCATATATAAAATATAATTTAGCGAGGACACATGAGATGTCTTCCTCCATCAACAGATAAAGTTACACCTGTAGTGAAGCTGGCATCGTCACTTGCCAAATATGTAATTGCTTTTGCAACCTCGCTAGGATCTCCTGTTCTGCCAAGTGCATGAGTTTCTTTACTCTTAGCAAAGAATGCTTTTAATTGGTCTTCTGACATTCCACTACTTCTATGAAGATTTGTTATTATTACACCAGGATTTACGGCATTAACCCTCACCTATAAATTAAAGATTAAATATAAAAGCTACTATTGTAATTAATAAGTTTTCAAATCAAACATACTTGTTTTGGTGCAAGATCAAGAGCTATACATCGTGTGAATTGATCAATTGCTGATTTACTCATACTGTATGCTAAAACTCCTGAGAAGGATCTTATTCCAACTACACTTGATACATTCACAATATTACCTTTAGATTCTACTAGATATGGAACAGCCAACATTGTTAAATGATATATTGAACGTACATTTATGTTGAAAACTCTAAAATATTTACATGTTTAATATATTGTATAAAATTAAGATTAAATTTTATTGATTTAAGCTAGATATACAAAAGATAGGCTTATACCTGTCATATTGTTCTAATGAAGTGTTCTCTATGCCTCCATTTTCTAATATACCAGCATTATTAACTAGGACATCCAGTTTACCATAATGTTTAATAGTGGATTTGACAATATTTTCAACATCACTTTCATTAGTTAGTTCTCCAGTTACAATTAATGGTTTGTCAGGCTTACATTGTTCAGCGACTTCATTTAATTTCTGTATATTACGACCTGTTAATGATAATAATGCACCAAGTTGTGAAAACTGTACAGCAGTTGCTGCTCCAATGCCAGAACTAGCTCCAGTTATTAATACAACTTTTCCAGCAAATGCCATCTGAAAAAAGTAATGAATTACAATTAAGTAAATTTTATTTTAAAAAATTAATATTCTTATAGTCTTTAACGTTTCTGTAATTCATAAACTTTATATATTTTTATATAAAAATTTTTAATACTTCCATAATTACTTAACTTTCTTGATATGTAAAATATATTTAATATATTATAAGGTTTTATAAAATCTTACTGATTTATATAATTTATTTATATTGCTCAGAGTTACGTTCTCGTGATCGTAATTGAAGTAAGACTAAATAGTTGCCATGCCATCGTTTGATAATAACCTAACGTAGAATTTTTACGAATCGACTATAGATAAATTATAACCATGGATACTATCACACGCTCATAAACTTGGCTATCTTAAAGTTTACATTTGCAATGTAAAATTATGATTTAATATCCATGAACCTAAATGTATGTAAATTTATAATTTATTCAAACTGTGAAAAAAAAGTAATAAGAGCAAACGTAATACTTAACTTCCATAAGACTATATGTAAAAATTAATTAATGCTAACATATAATAATATTACAATATAATTTTGTACTTTTCGAGTAAAAATTAGTACATAATGTGGCCATTTTGCATGTAATAAAAATAAAATATATTCTTCAATTTGTCAATTTTATTTTTTCTAATTCAATTATTACAATATTTAAATATTTTTCAACTTTTTCTACAGATATACAAATCTTTTCAATATTCCACTCTTTATCTTTAACTTTTTTCACAATTCCCTGAAGAGATAATTTTGCACTTGCTAACAGTGTTCTTTTTTTCTTAGGTTCACAATTGGAAACATATTGTAAATACATTTCTGCTAACATACAACACAATTGTAATACTTTCTGAACTGATTCTTCTTGTAAAAGCCATTTGGGATCTGATACGGCAATACGATGTGCTTGGTGTAAATAGTGTAGTGCTTTGTCATTATCAATATCAGTTTTTTTAAGAAAAGTAAGTTGTCCATACATTCTCCAAACATCAGAATTATTAGGTATAAATGAAGTAATTCTTCCAAATAATTCTAAAACTTTTGAAAGTAATTTTTGTGCAGACTTTCCATCTGAATCATTTACATTGTTTAATACAGCATCAGTAAGTATATCAAGAATTTGAACATCTAAATGGTGATTTTTCAAGTCTAAAATACGATGATAACATCGAATTACCTAGAAAAATGTGTAAAAGACATAAATCGTTAAAAGATATATGATTTTCGGGAAGAGTTAAATTTTATTTTTATTAATATTGTGTATTCGTACTTCTGAAAAATGTCCTAAGTCAATGCTAACAACCATTAAATTATCCCAAACTTGCCACTGATCATAGTTACACTTTAAAGCATCTTGAAGAGATTTCCAAGCTTTTACTTTATCACCTAGGTTTATATAAGCTTTTGCTAAATTATTCCAAGCCTCGAATGTCTATAATTAAATCGCCAAATTCTTTAATGTATATTATTACGTAACAAATTAATAATTGAAAATATTAATACAAACTGTTTGCTCTAGTGCACAATAACGTTTATATGCTGTTGCTGCCAATTTCCAATCTTCCACTTGTAAAGCAGCAAATCCAAGTCTAATCCAAACATTTTCTTGAATGTTATTTAATTCAACTGATAATTTTAAATGTGGTATAGCTTCCTCATACTTAAAAATAAAAAATAATATATGTATTTAATTAAATTACTAAGAAAAGGGGAAAACTTTTCAAACTTATATTTATGTACGCACATTTTGTTTGGCAAAATAAAAAAATCCCCAATGTCTTTGAGCTCGACTACTTTTTTTATTAGATAGTTCCCATGCTGTTTCATAACAACTAGGTTCTTGAGTTGCATCACCTAATAAGCACCATAATTGAACTGATGGTTTTTTAGATATTTCTTGCTGAATAATTTCTGCTGCCTAAAATTAAAAATAAAATATAAATTTACGTGTTTCATGTATGCTAAGAAGAAATTACATAAACTAAAATATATACTTTATGTCTTAGCTCTAATATGTTGTAACAAGCAATAGCTTCTTCCCATAGTTTGCTCTTCAAAAAAATATCCAAAGCACCCTTTACTAACCCAACACTTAGCATCAATTGTGCCCACATTTGTTCTAAAGCCCAAACTGGCTTAAGACCACTGGCAAAGAATAGGTCCATTCTGTTTGTAACACAGATTTTTGACTTTTTTAGTTCATGTATTAAATATTCCATTTGTATCATTGATCGTTCAACAGTTCGTTTATCCTCAGATTCTAAAGAACACCGATGATATAGAGATGCTATTTTTAAGGACCAATTTCGTGTATTATTTACCACAACCTATTAAAAAATAATCTTTGGTAAGAAAATAAAAAATATAAAAGTCAAAAATACTTACAGTTAAATAAGGCGTTACTTCTTCATCAGTTAATTTATCCTTTGGTTGTGATAACTGTAATTGAACGCTATTAGAAGTAAAATTTAAAATAAAATATGAGTTTTGCTTTATAAATATAGTATAACAAAAATGTAAAATATATTCTTACTATTTTGCTAATATAATAGCTTCTTCTACTGCTCCTAATTGTGTATTTTCTATATTTGTTGAAAATTGAATATGTTCTAATCTAATATCATCATTCAAATCCAAAGATTTTGGTAAATTTTCACAATATCTAGAAGGAAACTGTTCCTTTTCTAAAGTTATTCCTAAAAATAGTTGTGCCTTGTCTTCTTGATATTTTGTACGTTTACCTAATGCACCTTCAAGATTTAAGCTTAATTTCGCTCCTTCTTGAGCAAGTTTAACATATTTTTCTGAATTTTGAATTCTCCTATAATAAAAATAAAATTGTGCAGCTTCAATATAAAATAATGTTTCGCAACACAAATTTTCTTTCAGCATTTGCAAATCATTGATTTTCTGAATCAACTGTTCAGTCTCATCAAATATTGTACCGGAACTTTCATTTAGTATAAGTTGATGTAAAAGATTTGCTCTAAATAACCACCATATACAACTTTTATAAGCATTTTGTAGAATTTCATTTGAGAATATCATCTTAGAAAAGTAAAGAAGATCCAACATTTTAACATTTGCATTACATTCATCGTGTAACGATAAATTTCTAAGTATATTTTCTTCTTTAATTTTTTGCCATTCAATATCTTTTTCAATTTGTGGACCTGTCCAATTCTGTTGAATAAAATATAGTAAAGAAGCTATGCCTGTGCATAGCCAAGAATCATGCGAGTCTGTTTTTTCTATATTGTCATGTATTAATTTGGAAACATTATTGCTATTATTCAACTCTTGAATTAGATTTGAAGATAACTTATTATTTATGACATCTTTATAATTTCCATTTAATATATGTTGCACACAAATAGGCAGGTTATGACC